AACCTTGAACGAGTTAGTCAATTTCTCTGAGGCTCAGTCTCCTCTCCCGTAAAATGGAAAATGATGGTTATATGTTACAGTCTCTACGTTCTCAGTGGGGCTATATTGCCCCCAAAGGGTGAAACAGGTTCTTGGGGGGAGGGGCAAAAATTTTACATAAAAAAAAATACAGATATACATGCAGTACGTAAACAGATATAAGTATATCCATGATATTAAAATTTCATAGGAATGGTGGCAATTAGGAAAAAAATCCTAAAGATGCTCCTTAGAGGAGTCAATGATAAAAAAGCAAAAGCTGAAGAAGGCTGCTATAGATTAGAAGTGCTGCGAGGCTAATGCAAGGTGTGGCATGTTCAATTGACACAGAGCCCAGCACTCAGGAGCCACTCAATAAACAGCAGGTGTCATTACTGCTATTTGTGCAAGCAAGCATTTATTCCAAATACACTTGATTCCAGCCATGCTTTGGGCTGTGCAAAGCTTTATTGAGATTATGGAGAAAGATAAGGCACCGCCCCTTGACTGCACCAATGAGCTAAGTCCTAGCTAAACTTGGGAGCCTGGTTGCTATCATAAATGGATGAACACAGAGCCAGGTTGCTAAAGGGAGACCACAGGTGTGCCCTGCATTTCCTACACCATCTCCATTGCTGGGCTCAACCAAGTCAAAAGGTCACTAGAGGCCTTTGTTCTGTATTCCCAGCCTTGCCTGCAGCCTCTCCTGCTCACAGCATGGGAGAGCATCCCCAACCCACCATCACCAACGCATCATTTTGCCCTGGAGAGTAATCAGATTAAGTAGGATAGTTATTGATGGCCTCCTGTATCAAAGGGCATTCTCTTCAATGCTGGAGAGGTAGAGAGGAATAAAAGAATGAGATGTGATTTCTGCTCCTGGTTCTGGTGGAGAGAACAGATACACAAAGAGGACTCATTGATATAACATGATATAAAGGGTCCTATGTTCAGGAAACTCTGGAAACACGAACAGAGTTTTTGGAAAGAGTGTTTGGAGAAGTTACTTGAGCTGAATCTTGAAGAAGGATTAAGGGTTAACAGCATGAAGAAGGAGGGAAGCACCGTCTGCAGAGAGGGAGTGATATAAGCGATGTGGTGGCGTGGTAGGCATTGGGAGGTGCAGATGTGGGTGAGGTGTGAGGCATGGAGTGGAGGCCAAGGCCAGAGGGGAGGCTGACGGGCAGCCTAGACATGGAGGACCTTGAGTGCTAAGCATTATTTTGCAATGAGGAGTCATAGTCGTGTGAGACTTGGGTGCGGGCAAGTCGGTCCTATAGTTGTAATGGGAAAGTCCAAAGCTTCCTTCACAAAGCAAGACTTTGTGAGGCCTTCAGGACCACGCACTTCTTGGGCCCAACTATTCTCCATCCTTGCTCCTTGCTTTCTCCCTGCTCTCTGTGTCAGTCTCACTGGCTAATTTCCAGTTCCCTGGATGCCACAGGACCTTTGCACATGTTGTGGTTCTATCTGCCTATAATAGGTCTCCTATTACTCATAACGGTATTAAAGTAATTGTCTCTCTCTCCCACCACTAGACTTTAAGCTGGGGACTGTCCAACATTATAACACCGGCAAGCAACATAATGTATGTTTTCACTAAATATTTATGGGAGGAAGGAGAGAAGGAAGGGAGGAAGGAGAGAATGAAGGAAGAAAGAAAGGGAGGAAGGAAGGAAGGGAGCTACATGCTGGTGTTACAATGAGATATAATGAGTGCCCCGTTCCTTCCTGCTCCCAAGTTCCTGCTCAGTCCTGGAGTGCACTGCATGGCTCAGCCTTTTAGTCATCCTGTGTTAGGGCTCCAGAACCCTAACAATAGTCCCCTCTTATCAGGAGGCGATGTGACCCAAGAACCCCCACCGGATGCCTGAAACCACCAGAAGTACTGAACCCTACATATACTATGTTTTTTCCTGTCCATACATACCTATCATAAAGTTTAATTTATTATTTTTTTTATTATTTTTTTTTT